GATGATGGATGGATTAAAATTATTACCAATGTTCAATAATAATAATTCACTATTCAACCAAACGCTAATCACCTGCAATGTGCTATAGGTAAATGTCAATATTAAATAACATTTACTAAATAGGTTAATAGTCTCACTTTTTATTAAACTGTGGATACATTGAGCACATTAATAGTGATAACACTCACATGTTCTTATGCTATTCTGTAAAATTTATAGTTAGAAAAATAATGCAGATTTAGAGCTTGAATAAAAKAACAACTTAGCATTCTTTCTCATCTCCAGAGCTAACTAAGCTAAGCTGTCTGACTAGAGAGCAAGAAGCTATTAGCGTAGCTGAGTTGAACTGAACCAACTCAAAGCTGAGGGAGGAGAGTGTAGAATGTAGTGCTTTTTAATCCTTATTTTAGTTTTTTGAAAGATAAAGATAGTAAAAATAGAATCAATAAACCCTAGATAATTTTGTTTTAATGTATTATTGGGAATGATACAGGACTAAAGTACAGATTAGTTTTTTATAGAGACAAATTAGTCTCAAAAAGATTTGAAAGCACACATTTGAGCGAGCATGTCAGGGTTTGAGGGAGGGAGCAACAAGATTCGCACAAGTGCAAAGGTCTGCTCAACTTTTGAGACTTTCTTACTGTTGCAGACTCACCCGTGTAATGCTACATTCAACGCTAACGAAAAGCTGGGAGATTTGAGCCTTACCAGATTTAAATCCAGGAATCAACTAACTCCTGTAAAAAGTTGTGCTTTTTCTGTTTAGCTTGTTCTTACCAGGACTGGGACTTTCTGATCCGGGACAATGAACTGGTTCTCTCTCTGGCCTGTGCATCTCCAGGGAAATCCTGCATTAGTCTGGGAGAAAAGGCTCTCTCCAAATGGGCTCCATTTAGGTTCAAGGAGAACATGGTTGGTGGAGACATGTCCAGCTCCAGCAGCATGATGTTCTCAGCCTGTGGCAGTAGATGACAGTAAACTTGTTATGAAAGCAGAAGTCCAAAAAGGTTTGTTTCATTTTTGATTGACTCGTTTTGTTTGTTAGCAAAAATCTCCTGAACCACTGGACAGATGTTACTGAAACTCTTAGCAGGTAACTGTTGGATGAACATTTATCACTGATAAACTTTCAGTTAGCCCTCAGTCAGTCTGCTAGAGTGCTGAATTTAAAAAAAAACAAAAAGGCTAAAACTTAACCAATTTAACGTACCACGCTAAACTATGATGCAATAATAGCTGAGATTAATTCCCAACACTTAGTCTGARTGCTACACTTTGAGCAACATGTTTGCCTAAAACATTGGATTTAACTGTTGGGAGTCTGTCCTGTTTGTCTTTTAGCAAAATATCTCATGACACATTTAATAAAATGTTCAAAAAGTAAATACTAGTTGTACGTCTACATCTGATTAACTTTCAGAGTCAAACAAATTGAAGATGGCTGAAGTAGCTAATCCCTCTACTAACAGGGTAGTAGCTGAAAGTCCTCACCACATTCTCTGAACTCCAACACATCTCAAGAGATCTTGTAATATTGTATTGAGATCTTGCATGATGTCAGAGTTTGAACACAACAACCATAACCCCGGATTTATACTGCGTCTCTGCTGCGCAGGTCGCAGCTGTGCGTTTCAAGTCCAGTTTACACTTCCTCCGCTCCGCTCCGGACCGACAGACAGATTCAGACAGGAAGCAGATCGCGCGATAAATTCAGTGATAAATGTGGAAGTCACAGCAAAAAATAATTAATTCTGTGAAAAATGAACTCCAAACACGGCTGAAAACAACGATATAAAACCTTTCGGTATCTATGTTGAAACTGTCTCGCTGTCGGCTTTCTGAAACTTCTGATTTCAAAATGAAATCCACGTGTATTGTGTGTGTACACATACAGCAGGTAAAATAAGTATTGAACACGTCACCATTTTTCTCAGTAAATATATTTCTAGAGGTGCTAATGACATGAAATTTTCACCAGATGTCGGTAACAACCCAAGTG